CTCCCTCTCTCCCTCTCTCTCTCTCTCTCATTGTGGAATCGCTGATCGCTAGTCCCAGGATGGCCAGAAGTCCAGGAGGCAGCCTTGGCGCCTGCAGGAGCTACGCTGCCTTGCTAGGGATGATCCGCTTGCGAGCTGGAAGGGGACAGCGCTCAAATGAGGGAGAGCGAGCGCGCTTGGAGGTGGGGGTGCCGGGCTGCGAGCCTGCGGGGCTGGCACTGGGGCCCCAGGGCTGAGAGAGAGCGCGCCTAGTCGGCGCGCTGGGCACTGGGCGGACTCCGGAAAGTGCTGCGTCGCCCCCAGCAAAGGCACAAGGTGGCGGGAAGGGCTCGATCAACGTGGTGCGGGGAATGAAAAGAGGTCCTCGGACTTCTTCGTTTGTCAGGAGAGGACTGGGAGCCCCAATTCGGGCACCGGAGGTTGACAGAAGCTCGACCGCCAAGTGCAGGGGTCCGGCGTGCCAGGGGCCCCACGGAGCCTGCTGGACAGCCGCAAGCCCAAGTCACCACGGCTCAGACCTGCTGTTTGGATTACACACTTTACGCCCAGCTGTATGCTGCCAGGTGTTGGAGACGCTGGCGCGGACGGAGAGTTGGGGCGGGTATCAAGCTCCTTGGGTTCAGGCAGCGAGGCTGTCGCAGAGAGAGAGGGACTAGAGAGTCAGGGAGGGGCGGCGGAGTGGACATCGTAAACACCCAGCTTACCTCCTTTTCATTACCATGCTCCTGCTTTCAAAAAAACTCCGAGATTCTTATGGAAGATGTTTTCTACTTGAACTTTCTCCTCTCTTGTGACTTGAGAGATTTAAAAAAGAGCGTGCTTGCTAGGCTGGTTTTACCAAGTTGTTCTGAGCTGGAAGTTCTAACAATTTGAAGGATAATTTATGGGTGTTTCGTGCATTAAAGTGCATTACAGCAAAGCCTTTAGGTGTTGTGGGTATCAAGGAAAACTTAGTGCACGTTCCCAGTTGGAAACCAAAATAGTGCTATCCTGGGTGTCTGCCCCATCTGTCATCTGAGGCCAATGAAAATCCTGGAGAAAAGGCATTTGATTAATTGTCCTAGCTCCGTCCTCTGGGCACACCTATTGCCAGTGCCAGTTTCCCGCTCCCCCACCCATGCATGGCCAGCTGTACTCTGCAGACTCGGGAATGGCAGCGAAGGGGCCCCCAGTCACTTCTCTCTGGGTCTCCTGAGGCTTGAAACTGTCAGTCTGCTGGAGCAGATTCTCCCTTTCTCAGAGCAGTGCAGGACACAGAAGTTGGCCCTGCCAGCCCTTCTTGCCCAGCGCTTACAAGTTGCTAGGCAATTTCTGAAACTTTCTCTCTCTGCATAGCCACAGAAAGAAGACCATCATGGACCTGATGTGTCTGGTCTCCTGAATAAGTCATGTGTCAAACCTAGGTGTCATTTACCGTGAGCAGAACTCCCAGAGGCTCAGGGGGGCCCGGCCACTGGAGCTGAGGTTGGGCCCACTGGCAGTGACTCGCAGAATAAATGAATGCTCCTGTCAGTAGGTAGTTGGAAGGGGATGGGGTTCAGGTAATCTTCTGACATATTCCTCCCCCACCCTTCCCCCAACATTTTTATTTTTGTGCAGGTGAAAAAAAAAAGGAAGCCTTGAAGGGAAAAATAGTAGAGGGTGCTACAAATGGGAAGTCAAACTCTGGAGCATAGGACACATGATGTTGTAGAACTAAGGAACATCCCAGTGGTTTTATAACCAGCTGTTGGAGCCAGTGTCATCCCTGGGCTGCCATCTTGCCAAAGTAACCCAAGCCGACAGAGAATGGGAGAACTGGGTCTACTCAGTCATCCTACTGTTGGTGGCTCCTTCCCTACATTTAACCCTTAGCAAAACAATGAGGTTCTTACCCTCTTCTCTCGCTAACTCCACAACACCTGTGCCTCAAGGGCCAGTGGGCGCCAAGGATGCAGCTCCACTCTCCCATTCTCCCCCAGGAACAAATCTGTACCTAGGCCAGGAAGGGGGCCCCAACTGTCGACATCAGCAAGGAGGGAAGGGCACAGCAGGGCAGGGCTGGCGCCCGAGGGAAGTTTCTCATCATCGCTGAGATTATCCTGATGAGAAAATCGCACGACTTTACTTGTACGTGAGTGCTGAGCCTGATGACCGCTCACCTGTGAGGCGTGCTGTGGGAGCATGGGGCTGCGCAGGGGCTGCAGAGAGACTACAAAGAGATGCAGCTAGTGCTCTTCTGTGTGGGCAGTGGGGCCAAGGCCCAGGCTCCAAGCAGCATCAGGCCAGCCTAAGGATGAGTGTGTGCTTGGCTGAGGGTTTGCTCAAAAGTCTCTGGATATCTCTGAGCCCACAACCCATGCTCCCAGCAGGCATCTCTCGGACTGGCACTTCTGAACTTGCACAGCTCTTCCTTTGCCTTCACCAGTCCGGAGAAATTAGTCCTGGGGGAGCCTCGTTCCAGAGGACTCTGAATGGTGGCATCAAGGTCACAGATGAGGGTGAGACCCTTCCCAAACCTACTCCCAAGGTACCTGGCTTCCTAAAAGTGGGGGAGCAGCTAAGATTCTGCTTCTAAATAGCAGTGAGCCTAGGATGCCCCCAAAGCTAGTCGGCAAAAATAGAGAAAGTGAGACTTTGGGGGTACGGGCTTTCAGTTGAGTGAGCCCAGACGTGGAAATGTTTCTGTTTGGGCTGAGGAAAGCCACAAAGTTTAGTCAAGATTTGAAAAAAAAAAAAAAAAAAAAGAGCAACAAGAACAGAGGAGACGTTTTCATTCTTCTGCTGTGGGTGACTTTACATGCTTTTGAGGAGTTTCTATAAAATGTTGACATTACACTTAGCAAGAATCAGATGAGAAACTTGAAACAACCTCTTAATAGTTTTCTTCTGTACTTTGAGTAAACTTCCTATGGTGGTTTTCTCTGTTATGAGAAAAAGAGAAAGTATATGACTTTACCAAGTCATTCAGCTTCTCAGGAAATCTATAAAACACAGTGTATTGTATCAACATTGTTTCTTAAAGAGGCAACTGACATTTTAGGACAATTCTTGGTTAAGTGTAATGATTCTGCCCAGTGCAGAAAATTTAGTATCTTGGCCTCACCTACTAAATGTCAGAAGTCACGGTGACAACCAAACATGCCCCCCACTTAGGGTTAAATGGTTGTATCAAAGGATAATGCTGCTCCCAGTTAAGAATGTCCATGGAAATTACCAATAAGGGCCTTTCTTTCAGGCCTTTCTATTGAGTACCTCCAACACAGTCAGTGAGTTGGGGCCTAAAGTTCAGCCTGAGCCTCCTCCTCTGAGAGCCAGCATATCAGACTCAACACCGCCATCAGCAGAAGCTTCAGTGTTGTGGTCCCACCACAAAAAACCTCCACCTTCTTGGAGTGGAATTGGACTACAAACAACCCACAGCGGGGAAGAACCCAGAAAGAATCGGAGGAAAGGGATGGACGTATCAGAGCATGTCAGCTTCCTTCTTTGCCATATGCTGTCAAAAATACAGGCAGACGGCCTGCCCAGGAATTCCAAGCACTGGAAGGAAATCCTCACCTTTACGAAATCTATCCTGCTCCGGCACCAGGAGGTGTCTGCCCCGAAGCAGAGCGCCCCCTCCCTGGAGCTGGCAGCACTCAATAGAACATGAGTGCATGTTGATATCAAGTTAATACAATTGGACTCAAGCTGCAATAATAAATGCGAACCAATAAGGTGACATTTCACAGAATAGGGCAGGCTAGTGGCACTACACCAGAGGAAGGGTGCCTGTAGCTCTGGATCTAGTCTTCAGACCTCACCGCTGCCCCAAGATTTCAATGGGAGACAAGACTTAGAACCATTTGTTTATTTCTAGTGCCAAGGAATAGCTGACTACTGTATTTGCTGGATATCATTGGAACACGTACATGCTACTTACCCCCAAGTCATTAATGTAGAATTTAACGAAGAAAAGTGAACAGAGGAAAATGAGCATAGGGTCAGGGCTGTCAGAGTTTGGAGCTGATTCCCAATGGGACGAAAGATAAGAGAAAGAAAGAAGGGAGAGGGAAGGGCAGGAAAATGCATGTAGGAGACTGAAGGGATGCCTGCATGAGGTTAATCTGATGACGAAATCTGTCAGATGAGGCTAGCAACAGTGATTTTCAAGTTGCCTAAGAGTTCAGCCAACCTCTTCACGTGTGGGAAATCTTTTTATTAGTTGTGGTATTAGTCAGAGATAGACAGCCAGAACTCCCCTGAAAATTCGCCGCTAGGCTAAGCAGCTGGAGAGGTCTGGGCCCTGCCTGCAGTGACAATTGCAGTGCAGTGTGGACAGCAAGTGGTCAGTGGCAATGAGCACTGAGGGTCTGCCCAGAAGCCGTCCCATGCTGGCCAGTCAGAGTGGTTTCCCAGGAACTACAAGGAATTTGTTATCTGGTACATGGGGCTGATTTTCCTGTTTCCTTTGGCTTTTCCTTCAGTGGCAGGGGTTGGTGGGATCTGTCACCTCCCTGCTGCCTGTGGTCCCTAACTGAGCTGGGGAGGAATGTCCCTTCTGGGAAAGTCTAGAGAGCCTTGCCCTTGCCCAGTTTGGGGGGAAGGAGAAGTGTCCCATCTTTGGTCCCTCAGTGCTGTGGATTACTATACTTGTTACTCATGAGGTGACTTGCATTTCTTACTTGCTGAGTCTGGTGAAATCACGTCCCATTTTTGGGTCTGAGCAGATCTGGCTCAGAGGCCA